GGAGAGCTATGCTGCTTCTCATATCGCTCGATCACAGACTAGACTCTTCCCTGACTTGCTGCTTCCTTATCAGATTTGTGAGGCATATTCTTTCACCTTTCGTATTTTCAACACCAAACACCAAGGTCCCACTGGGTGTGCCAAATTGTTTCGCGCGGGTAATCGCTAACAATTGAAAAGGGATCTAACGATTGTATAAGGAACAAACCTCTTGAGAAAAAGTCTCAAAAAGGAGTGTTTTATTGGCGATGATTATAATTGGAACTAAACATAATACCTCCAAGGGGCGCAAGCACACGAGTACTGAAAGAAATGTTTAAGTTTAAACTAAGAAATTGAAATTACATATTCTCTGTTTGAGAGTGTTTGATTCGGGGTCCTTTTCTCTATGTCTTCTCTCCCTTTTATATTCCCTTGATGATTTCTTCATGACAAACTGTTTGGAAACTGTTTGATTGCTTTATAACTACCCACTCTTTTTATGGTGGCTAACTTGTCGTGGAACTGCCGTCTCTAAATGGTGCCACTACTCTTCGTCGTTCAATCGTCTTCAACTGGGTTCCTTGAATCGTGGAATGTGATAAGGTTACTCAATAACTGCTTCAATAACTGCATTTCTGGATAACCATAACATTTCATGTTTGCTAAGATTCTGGGCGATTCGAAGGTATGGCGCGAGAACAGGGTCATTGCTCTGGGCGACTGTAAGGCACTCCATTCGCTCAGATTTTAAGCGTCTTGCAAGTTTGGGCGATGATGTTACTGTGTTCGTGGGCTTCCACTGCATTCGTTAATAATCCAGTCTGGGCCTTTATCCTGAATTGTTCAATTGGACTTCATTTTTTAGGTTATTTGATTTGGGCTACACTTTTAGTGTATCAAAAGAGATCGAACTTTTTAAAGCAAACTAAACAATAGTTCGATAGAAAAAATCTAACCAGGTTGCTCACTCTAATTCTTGGGTGGGAAAAAGGTGTGAACACGTTTGGATGGGACCTATAGCTTATGAATAAGCTCTATTTTGTGGTCAAAATTGGGTCTAAGAAGTACTTTTGACTCCGAGTTAGAATACAATACCTTATTTTCACCTTAAAAATTGTGATATCCAGGATTTTTATATGGTAAACATGCTCATTGGTAAAAGAAAATTTGCGGTTTGTCTTTTTTGTGAGCAAGGGTGAAATTAAAAAAATAATCACTGTAAATATTAGGAAATGACAAAGAAACAAGTTTAGCGAACAAGTTGGTATTTGTCGTGCCATTAATTTATGGATTAATATATATGTACTCACTAACTTTTGACAAAATGAGTTACACACACTCAAAAAAAAATGCTGACCCCACATGAATTCAAAAATGTCGATTGTGTGGTCCCCACTCCTATTATGAGGGTAAGTAAATCTTTTTGTACAAAAATTGATTTCTTGTAATTTTGATCGTACCTTTCGATAAAATGTGAAAAATAAGTTGAAATTTTATAATTATCAATATTCTTTGTGAGATCCTCTCGTACATTTATGCATCAATGGGGTTCGTTGGCCATTGTCATAGAAATTGTGAGAGCCATACCTCAAGAGTGCAGGGCAGGTGCCCATACACCAACCAGGGTCTCGAGAGGTGATGCCTACCCCAATACCAATATAGAATTTAGGAGAGCCATATCTCAAAAATTAGCCGTTGAAGTTGGAGAACTAAGTCTATATAAACCACACAAAGAAGTCCATACTTCCGTTGTGGGATTCAAACCCGTATAAATTTCACCAGAATCATGACAAATGACCACGTTTCCAACCCTGGACCCCACGCAAGGCAGGTGCCCATGACTGCTCTCATTGTTATGGAAGGTGGGAGAATCATACCTTAAAAGCCAGCTATTGAAGTTCAAACCCCATAAGTTCCACCGGAACCATGACAATTATTTCTTCTAATTATCTGTAATTCGAAGTTTTTCTTGGAATGATTCTGAATTTTTTGCACAAGTCTAATCTTGTTTTGTTTCCTGATGAGGGTTTCATTTGGTTTGAATTATATTACATTCAATTTCTAATTTTCATGTTCAATTTACAGAGGCGGCAGTAGCCCCCGGGGTGTCAATAAGCAGAAGAACATGGCGGCTGAGAGGAAAAATCGACGATCACTTGGCGACATCGGGAATCGGGTTACTGTTCCTGAGATTGAAGGCAAGCCACTGCCTCAAATCTGTCGCCCCGTCACAAGGTTCAATATTCTCTCTTTCATTTCATTTGACACTACTCGAGGGTATTAAAGAAGAAACGTAGTCAAAATTTAGTCTATTGTACTATTTCAGGAGTTTTTGTGCGCAATTGCTGGCGAATGCACAGGCTGCAGCAGCTGAAAACAATAAGGTTTCCATTTTTAGAGATCGTGTTTTTGTTTCCAGTTTTCATATTTTGAGTCCACTAAGCAGTATCTTTGATCTTCAGAAGAAATCGATGGCAGTTAATGCGAATGATGGCATTGCAGTAGATGGAGCAATGCCAAAAGCTGTGGTGAAAAAGCCAGCCCCGAATACAGATACTACAAAACCGAAGCCAAAACCCGAGGAGGTAATCGATATTAGTTCTGATAGAGACGAAGTTAAGAAGGAAAGGGCTTTTGTGAATAAGGAAAACACTGAATAATCAATGAAAAGGAATGCTCCAACTCTCACTGCTCGAAGCAAGGTCGACTTTTTGGTTTACATATGATTCCTTAATAATCTTGTCTCTTATTCTATTTCCCTCTCATATCAGATTTCATTTTACAGACTGCTTGTGGGATGAATTACAAGCCAAAGGAGCAGATAGCTGATATTGATACTGCAGATGTGAATAATGATTTGGCAGTTGTGGAATATGTTGAAGAAATATGCAAGTTCTATAAGCTAGTTGAGGTATCTACTTGCTTGTTCTGTTCTGTTCTTGTCCATCTTGGAGCTATCCGTAATAAATTTCGCGAGGCCTTTACAGAATGAAAGTCGAGTTCACGATTATATGGATTCACAACCTGAGATAAATGAGAAGATGAGAGCAATTTTGGTTGATTGGTTGATTCAAGTCCACCACAAATTCGAGCTTTTGACAGAGACTCTTTACTTGACTATCAACATTGTTGATCGCTATCTCGCAGTAAAGACAACATCAAGGAGGGAACTTCAGTTGTTAGGCATAAGCTCGATGCTTATTGCCTCAAGATACGAAGAAATTTGGGCCCCTGAGGTGGTCACTAAAGTTTCTTCGACTAGACTTACAAACATTTGAAACTAAAATTCTGATGAACTAACCAATATTTTTGCAGGTCAATGACTTTGTGTGCATATCAGACAGAGCCTACACAAACGAACAGGTCTTGCGCATGGAGAAATGCATACTCGGTGAATTGGAGTCGAACCTAACAGTTCCCACGCTGTATATGTTCCTAGTACGGTTCATCAAAGCTTCTTTACCTGATTCTGATGCAAGTATATCTCGACTCATCTATGAACCATATAAGATGGAGAACATGGTCTATTTTCTAGCCGAGCTCGGAATGATGAATTATGCCACTGTTATGCATTGTCCATCGATGATTGCTGCCTCAGCAGTCTATGCTGCAAGATGCACGCTAAAGAAGGCGCCTGTATGGTCTGAGACACTTAAAGTGCACACGGGTTTCTCAGAGCTACTGCTCATGTAAGATCATTTCTTGCATATTTGATTCGATGGCTGCAGATCACAAACTGAAGGTGAGATCTACAAGAAATACTCGAGTCCAGAGCGAGGGGCTGTTACCAGCTCAGTATCTTTTGGCTGCGTCGTAAATATTCTACAGGCGCCTGAAACTTTATACAACGATTCTTTTTTTCTCATCGATACTAACGTCTCTCTTAATTTTCAAAGTTGAAATTGTTACAATGTAATTAACGGATATTTTCATTCTTACAACTTCCAATATATTTTTCTCGTGTATCGACTAAATGTCCGTCTTTGACTTCAAAGGTTTAAATGTAAATTCAGTCATTTTGTACGTGGATTCATAGCTTTCTCTACTTTAAAAATCACAAATTCTTCGGGGGAAAAAAAAATTCACAAAATTTATTCTAAAAAAATCAACATCAAACCGTCCCTTAAATATCGTCCTTAATCTTATCTAAAACTCGTTTAGCACAACGTAAGAAACATGATACGAGTTTTCATAGAAGTTATTGAGATTGATACCTATGTTTAGTCAAAAGTATTCCACATAACAAGTAATATAGAACATGTTTAATATTTCAACTTAATCTTCCTTAATCATATAATGAAATATTGTGTAACATAAAAAACATGCCACGAGTGTTCATAGAAGTTAACGAGATTGATATCTAAAATCTTTATTCACTTTAGATATACTTAATTTAGCTATTTTAATACTAATAATATTGAAATAACCAATGTCAATTATATTTAATTTGATTTTTCTAATCCATGCCTTAATTTTTACCTCTTTTAGACCTACTTAACTCATTGCCATTTTTAATTACAATTAAAACAAGGAATATTGCAATTAAAGTCAACCCTAATATCCTATCATTTGCATAAACAACCCCTCTAATCACATTGAGCATCCAAAAAATATTCCCTCCTAACTATAGGACCTCAATGCATAAGTAGTCACGAGCAAGAACACGATATCGATGGAAACCTAATATCATTGAGGGAGAAATGTTCGAACACAAAATATTATTATATTAAAAATAAATATAAAAGTTCATATTTTTTTAATTATTTTCATTATCAATTCATTTTAATATTTATATTCATAATTTTATAAAAATTGAACGTAATTCATATTAGTCACAATCATCCCTGACAAAATAATCGTAACCAAGTAAGCCATTAATAGCTCCAAAAGTATGTCCAATGTTACTATCCAACTGGAACGAAGCGTGTCGTTCACGCTACTGGGCATACACGTGGTTTATGTATGTACGATATAGATACCAGTAGTTGTATGTATAGGTTTGTGGAATAAAAATCCTTTTAGCAGTGGCCACTCACTCTCCAGAAAAAAATGCAACCTTTGCACACAAAAATCACTAGGAATCAACAAACAGTAAACTTAATAAAAGCTAAACAAGATCCACCTCGATCACCCACTCACCCAGCCCTTCTTCCTCCATATACTCACAGTCACACACATTTTTTTTTATTTTTTAACTTCTTCTCGTCTGTTCAAGTGAATCAGTTATTGTATCTTTGTTGGTAGAGAGAGAGAGAGAGAGAGAAGAAATTTTTCCTGGAAAAATCCTGCAAATTCATTGCAATTGACTGTTTTTGCTTCCCACTTGGAATTTTTGTCTGTTTCTTGACAAAATCTTGAAAAAAGAAAATCAACCTTTATAGTTTTTGATTCCCAATAAACTGCCAATTCAAGAAAGTTTTAGTGTATTCAAGATGAGGGAGGATGATTCGAATTGGTTTGCAAAATGGGAAGAGGAATTGCCATCACCAGAAGAATTGATGCCTTTATCACAAACCCTAATAACCCCTGATCTAGCACTGGCTTTTGATATTCGAAACTCACCTCCAAATCACGACCATCAGAGCACTCCGCCGCCGCTGCAGACTACCGCGCACTCTTCTCAACCTAACTCTTCCGCAGACTTCGACTCGGTCGAGTTGGGTGTATCAGGAGGGTGTGGTGACGGGGGAGTAGCTGGGACCGGTGGCGGCGTGGGGTCGGACGAGCCGGCTCGGACGTTGAAGCGGCCACGGCTTGTTTGGACTCCTCAGCTGCATAAGAGATTTGTGGATGCTGTGGCTCATTTAGGGATAAAGAATGCTGTACCCAAGACTATAATGCAGCTGATGAGTGTGGATGGACTTACTAGAGAGAATGTTGCTAGCCACTTGCAGAAATACAGGCTTTATCTGAAGAGGATGCAGGGAATTTCCAGTAATGGGAGTGGTGGTGTTGGTGGGAATAATGTTAGTGTGGATCCTACTGATCATTTGTTTGCAAGCTCGCCTGTGCCGGCACATTTTTTGCATCCAGGAAGGCCAAATTCCGACCATTTTTTGCCCTTTATGCCGGTGGCTGCAATGCAGCAGCATCATCAAATGACAGCAGCGGTTGGGCCGGGGCCAGGACCTCACCACCATCCACAGCTGCAGCAGCAGTTTAGGCATTTTGGGACCTCACCGCCAAACGGGCAATTTGAGCATCCGTTTATAAGGCAGTCACAGCAGCAAGTGCAGAGAGTGGGGCCGCCGGTTCATAGTAGCAATAGTTCGGTGGTGCCTCCACGGTATGTCGAGGATTTGGAGTCTCCCAGGGCTGAGAATGGAAGGAAAGTCCTCACCCTGTTTCCAACTGGGGATGAATGAATTTGGGGTAAATCTTTCTCCTCGATTGACTTTTAGGCATTGTTAAAATCTGTGTTTGGATTAACATTTAGTATTTATTTTAGCAACCTATTCCTATCAATCCTGTGTTGTTAGTTGTTCTTGATAGGTGGGGCTATTGGCATTAGGCTTCGTACAATGAACTACCGCTTAAATGCTTGTGGCAGTCTTGTATATCTCTATCTGTGCATGTTGAACTGAGTCTTCAATTCTGGTTTCAATCAGCCAATTCCATGTTTTTCCATAACTGTAAACAAGTTGTACGTAGCATTTGTGTCCATGTCAGCTTCTGGTGTTGAAAATGTGCAATCAAGTTATTGTTAAATTCGTAGATCAATATGGCTCCACCTGAAAATTCACACTATTCCTTCTTTTCTGCCGAACTGATCATAACCAGTACCTACAGTCAAGGAAATTGCATGCCGCAAGTAGAAACTAATAAAGAGACCTGTGACTCTCATAGAAAGACATCTTACCTCCTGAGCAAAACGAGAATTTTTTCTTGTGCCTTCTACTTGAAAACAACATTCGAGTCTTCCCGAATTGAGTCTTCAGTTTATCAAAGAAGATGGTGGTGCCTGAAGGATGAAACAAGGATTAGCCATTCTCGATTATGCAGATATGGGTGAATAATTTGGCAAAACGATGATATAGAAGTTTGAGATGGTGATGCAGATACATGGACTACATAATTGTACTGTTTGTTCCGGCACATCTACTTGCTAAGTTCTCTGTTTCTTTAGTTTAGAAGTCATGTAGATGCCATTCCTATTTGTTCTAAATGGAGTGGTTCTTATAGCACCTATGATACAATAACAATCCTAATATTATTGCAATATTACTTCAATTAGAAGTCTCGTGACAATTATTAATCCGCGACTGCATTTCTTTTTCGAATTTCTTGAATTCTGTCATCCCTTTACATAAAATATTTCTGTTATGACATGTTGCCATATCTTGATGTTTATTTCATAGTGTTTTGCATCTCTTGCTAGCTACTATCTTCCCCCATCAACCATCCCCCGGCGCCAAAAGATGTATATATTTATATTCACCATCTATATATCCATCTACATCTTTTTTGGTGCTCAGAAGTTAACTTCTGAAATCTTGTTGCATATTGCAATATATTTAGACTGTCTTATATTTTTACTTTTCCTGGCGTTCGTGTTCTGGTCCAATATTCGTATGATTTCACTCGAGTAAGCATGTAATTATTTGATTCATTTGCTCAATTATTTGGCCAATGATATTCTTGAAAGTTTGTATGAATGTTTCTGTGCCTTTATGTGAACATTTGGCCTTCATATGTATCCCAATCCTGAGTATTATAGGTGAGAACTTTTAGTTTTAGATGGAGATTGTTACCTCAGAAGTGGTTCATTATAATGTTTATGGATTTTCGACGTTTCATTTGTAGCACGTAGTTTTCAATGACTGATTCTGCTATAAATCCAGTTTTCCTCTGGAAAATCGATTACGTAATCATCATGTGACCATAATGGTCAGATGGACGGAAACTGTCCACTATAAATCTTAGAGTGCGTTTGATTGCTTATATTTTTCATGGAAAATGTGTCTTTTCCTATTTTTGTGCTATTTGATTGCCATTTTTTTCCATGGAAAATATTTTTCCACTTTTGGTCACGAGACCATATTTTCGAAAGAGATGATTTTATTTTTCACAGAATCCACTCTCTCTTATTTATCCACTCTCTCTCATTTATCCACCAATAAAAAATGAACAAGTATAATATTTTCTAGGTTGAAAATTAAATCAATCAAACACATTTAATCGACAATTTTCATACAAATAAATTCTAAACAGTTGAATTATTTAGAATTTTTTTTTTCATGCAATTTCAATGCTTGCAATCAAACGCATCCTTAATTATACAAAATTGTCTACATTTCACAGAGGCCGAAATGCTGCCAGGGAACTTTCCATTATAAATTATGCATTTCATTAGTATTTATCCTGGCTTTAGTCATAAAAATATGATTGTGATGATCTAAGCTTCAAATCTTGCTTCTGGTACTTGTCTTGCACTTCCAAGTTGATTAGATCATATATGTTATTGTCTTTAATGCCATCATTGTGGACAACATATTCAATGCTGATGATAAGTCACAACTTTTAATTTGTCTTCAAGTGTTCATTGTAGATTAGAACATCCTCAATGCAATTCATAAGTCTAAATCTTAACTTTGATATCTATAAGAATCATGATGTTGTCAGAGAATTTCATCTCAAGAGGATATCATAGAAGGAACGGATAATGATATATGCATCGTCATGTCCAGTTCAACGTTCCAAATACATCACAAGAAATTTTATGGTGGTTTTATAAAAGGGATGGAGAATGATACGTCTATTGTCATGTTCAATTTAATGTGCTAAATAAGTCGCAAGAATTCAAATTGTGGATCCCAGCAAATTAGCTTCATTTTTCTTCCAAGATATGCTGTGTTAACATATTTCCATTTCTTTTATAATCATAGTCTCTTTATACAGAGATGGTTAAACGTATTAAAAAGCAAACTTGTTGAAATCAAGTCGTCGTCGCCTACTTAGGAAAAATGTGCACGCGTCGATTTTTGACATAACAATTAATCCAACCTACAAGTAAGAAAGTTTATCGAATACGAAATTTGAATAAGTTTTAAATTTGGAAAAATTGTTAAAAGAGTAATGTTATGTAGTCCTACTGAACTTGCAATCTCAATCTAAGTGATGCTAAAAAAAACGTGGAATTACATAAGTCCTTTAATTTCACTTATTATTTAATGTTATATTAGCGCCACCTAAATTGGAATTAAAATTCCAATGAGACTAAATGAAATTACTCTTGTTGAAAGTGTGCACCCACTTATATCGACACGATTCTTGATGATTTAGAAATGCAAACAGATCCCATCCATTAATTATTCGTGGATTACCTCATCAAAGCTGGTACTGAATTATTCATTGGTATCTTTGCCTTTCAATAAACAACTAACCCCACCACATGAACCTTAAACCATTTGCTTGCGTTTGTTTCATAGTATAATAAGAAACTAGGGTTGATTTGCGTTGTCGTCACTTGAGAGTTGAGGCATTAGCAACTCCTTAGGATCCAGTCGCTAAAGTTAATATTAGAGGTATAAAATAAATCTACTCGTCTTTTGAGTGATAAGGTGTGATCTATCTATAGGTTCGGCACCGCCTCTGTGTTCTGTCACGCTAACTAAGTCAACGAGCCAAACATTTGCTATGAATTTTTTTATTGAGAAGATCAAGAAAGCTTGTAAAGGCAGGTTCATGAGTGAGAACACTTTCTACGTAGCTATAATCGTTAGTTGATCATATTTAATAACAACAATAGTAGAGCTTTTCGTTTTTAAAATAGACAATAGTCTTTTGTTAACTGTTCCAATCGAGTTTTTATTAAAATATGTTTAACACATGCAAGTCGAACTTGAGGAGTTGGGCTGAAGGAAAAGTAGCGGTCTCAATGGTCGATTGGGGTCCCTTTGTCATGTAAAGTCCATGTTTACTTGGACCCCTTGTGGTCTCAATGGTCGAATGGGCTGCCATGCCCTTCGTTAGTAACAGCCCAAATATATTGGACCTTCCATTTAATTTCGCTTCTATGTTGTGGGACCTCAAGCCCGTCATTTGTATATTCATTTTACTTGGAATTTCAAGCTTTTCTTCGTGCCCATGGAACCTCATTTCAACCCCTTTACAAGGCATTGACAATGGGTTGTGCCGAGCTGGCTCGACTCAAGGCCTCCTAAACTTAACTTTGACCATTAGGCAATCAAGTTCTTTCACTAAGACCTATCGTGATAGGCAAAGCCAGTGCACGAGCTTTACGATTCCCATTTAAACAAATTTTATAGAAAATTTAAAGGGATAACAACCTCTTTTTTCATGTTTTGGACGAGATTCATTATGCTAAAAATCTCAATTATATCACATAACTTCAATTTTCACAATTATGCCATTCAACTTAATTTTCGATGCATAATTTGATGCTATGTGCGGAAGTCTTGATATATTTAATCGTGAGCATTGAGTATAACATATAACTTACGTAGAATGTAGATAGCTAATGAAACGCTGCAATATAATTTTGAAAAATATATATTTTTTAAAAGATTAAAGGGGTTCAACATCCTTCCAAAATTTATCAATTGTGTCATTTTCTGTACTGTGTAAAAAACATGTTGAATGTGCATGTTTAAATTTTTAAAGCACTCAAGAATCGAGACAAAATTATATACCAACTTCAATATTCTCCTTTTTCAAGACTCCTATTTTTAAAGAATATATTTTACAATTTAAAGAATATCTACAAATTTAGAGAGTATTCCAACAAACTCTTTATATTAATACTTAATTTTACGACTAAATATATATATATATATATATATATATTTTCCATATAGCCCAGAAATTATTAGAGGAAAAAGTAGAATGATAATTAATTACAAAAGATTAAATGATAATACAATAGATGATGCTTATAATATTCCAGATAAGACAGTTTTAATAAATAAGATTCAAGATTGTAATATTTTTAGTAAGTTTAATTTAAAATCTGATTTTTGGCAAGTAAAAATGCACCCAGATGCAATAAAATGGACAGCCTTTACTAGCTCAGAAGGACATTTTGAATGGTTAATTATGCCATTTGGATTAAAAAATGCCCCTAATATTTTTCAAAGAAAAATGGATAGTATTTTTAGTAAGCATAATAAATTTATTATAGTTTATATAGATGATATTTTAGTATTTAGTAAAAATAGGCGAGAACATAGATGTCATTTACAGATTCTTTTTTCAGAATTTATTAGACATGGTCTAATTATAAATAAAAAGAAAATGTTTTTATTTAAAGAATATATAGAATTTTTAGGAGTAAATATAGGAAAAGGAAAAATAGAGTTACAACCTCATATAGCCCAAAAAACTTTAGATTTTCCAGATATAGTTTAAGGAAGAAGAAGAAATATGTTTAGATTTTTGTTTCTGTAAATCTTTTGTAAAGTTTTATGTTTCATGATGAGTATATGATAAGAGCATGTCTTAACTCCAAGTTAAAGTTTAAAATGTTTTTAAAATAAGTCCTGAGTGACCCTTCAAAGCGTAAAGGCCTAATGGAAAGGCTAGTGAAACGTATAGAAAGGGGAAAATGATCACTGTTTTAAGAATTTTTGTTAAGGGAGTGCCATTGGTGTCCTTACGAGAATGGAGTTAGGCCCAAATTCATATATCTCAGATGACATATTTAAAAAAAAAAAAAAAGGATATTATCTTATCAAAAGATATTTCAATCAAGAAGAGTACTGAGTAGGATTTTTATAATTTGATTTATTACTACCTTATAACCTGCCTACAATCCTTGAAATATTAACCTTTTTCAGGACCCCCCCTTTGGTATCTGAGCTTTTGTTCCGGTGCTGGTGACTTCAGTATATTTCATTTCTTCAGATTTTAGAAAAGGTATAATTCTTAGAATCTTTAGAAAATTCTTACTTGTTTTATGATTTTTAGAATTTTACTTGTAGATCTAGAAAAAATATCTTATAGTTTTACATTTTACAAAGAAATAGAAGAGATCTTTGAATACGGTATAGAATTTATTTCTTTTGAAAAACATAAATCTATAGATTATTTGTTTGCTATATTACAAGTAACTAAAGATTTACATCCAGAATTAAAAGAACAGATTTTATATAGATCTTTAATTTCAGAATTTAAAGAAGAATATTTTATAAATAGTTTTAATCAGATATTTATATCAAACTTAGAAGTAAGGAGACCACTCGACCGATCTCATCCACTTGAAAATTCGTGTAAAAGTTGCTAATTCTACTTTCTAATAG